TTGAGGAGGGGTTAGAATGGTAGCGGTGACCTCTTCTGCTGATGGCGCTTCCACAATCAAATAGGCCACTGGGAAGATGTCGTCGTTTACTTTGAGACTATACAACTCGTTGTCTTCCATTTCAATATTGTTAATGATGAGCACTTCGAGAAGATCGTGGCTGATCCTGTCCAGCTTTCCTGGGCAGGTCACCACTTGAGTTGAGCCTTTATACCAGTCTATTTTGCTGTTTGGCGGAAGGTAATTGTTTAGCTCACAGGTGATTGTTGCAGTTGATCCCATTTTGATCACATAACTTGGTATGTTAATACTTCCGGTGCTTAAGGTGTTGTCTGCCTCGGAAACGGTGTTCTGAGACAGTTCCATCGAAGCCTGAGAACGAATCGATTTCCTTTCATCGGGGTTCGTCTCGGACACAGTGACATTGAATTGAAGGGACGTCTTTGACTCATCCTCTATGCTTTTCCCCATGTTTTCGCACTCAGGAAGAGTCATCTCGACTTCTCCCCAAGGGATTTCTTCGAGAGAGGCGTAAATGCCGTCATGTAAACTCCTAGCGACAATCGACACAGTGATTCCAGTGCGACTGTCACCATCGATATCTTCAAGCGAGCTGGCCTCATCCAGTTCGTCGAAGGTTCTTTGAGCACTTAACTGCTGAGAAGTGAACTCCATCACGGTCAATGATGTGAAATTCACCTGATCTTCAATCACCCTTATTACTAATGCCAAACACTCAGGCTCTTGTTGGATTTCTATGTCAAAGGTGTTCTCGGCGACTCGTGCACTAACAAACAACCTCACATCTGGGTAGACTACGGCAATCACAGCCTTTTTCTCTCGAGCCCGGAAGAAGGTGAATGTTCCTTCAGCGTTGTCTAATATGGAGCGGTCAATCTCCGTGATCACCGAGTCGTCGCTAAGGATGTCCGTCTCTTTTATAGCCGTCCTTGACGACGGTGTCATTCTATCGGTGTCGTCTGTCCATTCCGAAGACACCATTTGAGAGAGATGAGCTTCCTCTAGCACAAGGTGATCGGTATCTTCCGAGACAGATTCTTTCTCGAGGGATGGATCATGGCTGTCGTAAATGGATGATCGAAAACTTTTGCCCTTTTCGTCACTCTTCGTCATCACTTTCACTTCCGTATACAGTAGTTCTACATCCTCTTTTTCATTAGTTTCGGAGTTATGGAACTCAATATTGACATCGATATCAACTGATTCGTCTTTTTCAGTCAGTTCAGGCATTATTTTTGAATTCCTTTGGGATACACTCAAAGAGGAGACAGACTGTGGTGTCGCATCTTTGGGTGAATATCTGTTGAAAAATTGAACAGTTCCCTTCAGAAGAGCTGATGTGTCCGTGTCGGTGGTGTAGTCTGACTCTTCACAGATCAGCTGCACCGAGCTCACACCATCGTCAATCCCGACGTCACCTGATGCTGTCATCACGTTAGTTAGTGGGATCTCCAAAGCTGCAGTGGCCTCAGAGAGCTTAAGATATGCCGCAGAAAGTGATGTTCCTGCATAGTTGATATCCACGGCCTGTTCTGGCTTCAGTGGAACCGTTTCCTCCAGTTTTGACATGAAAGAAGCTTCATCTTTAGTGGGAGCATCTGCCGTTGTTTCATATATGGAAATGGGCTCAAGTTCCTGTTCTTCGTCACTCTTACTCAGGGCCTGGGCCTTCTGTGCTGCTCTCTTTAACGACTGCTCCAACTCTGATTGAACCCATTCGGTTTCCGACAGGACTTCTTCTTTAGATTGGGACACAGCCATCTGGCTAAGCTCCTCTAGGAGTGATTTTTCCAAGTCATCCGCATCACCTTTTTGGGCTCGTACACAGCCTAAATTCCTCAGCATGTCAATTGTGTCTCCAGCGAAGGACTTTATTGTTTTACTGGGAGAACTGTTGTCTCTTTCGGGTGGACGTCGGATATCTGCCGGTTTCATTGTGTCCGTTGCACGTTTTGAAGTGAGTCTATCGTCTAGCGAGAGATCTCGTTTCCTGAGATCCTTAACTTTTCTTGGAGGCCTAGTTGGAGGTTCTATTGATTCTGTGTTTTCACTGCGGGTTCGGCGACGTCGCGGTGGAGCGACGGGAGCAGGCGCTTCCTCCTCCGTGGTGGATTCAACGGTTGCAATTAATGGCGGCTCGCTCTCTTCGTCAACATCATTCCGAAGAACTCCTTTCCAGGAGCTTTTCAGTTCTGTGGAGTACCTCCATGTATCGTCACTTGTAGAAGCAGCGGTGGACGATTTGTGGTAATCAGAATCCATTGAAAATGACTTCGCCATCACTACCGCCGTAATCTGGTGTTCCACGACAGGTCGTTCGAGGTCGAACTCCCTAGTGACAGACGTAGTGTGCTTGCGATTAGCTTTAGGGTGCTTCTTCTTCGATAGTGACATCACATTCACAATGCTTGCCACATGAGTGCGAACCTTATGAAGGACGTTCATCACCGCATCCGTGCCCTTCTTTGACAGCTGCGTACGGCAGTAGGTTTTGATTGTGTTTATTTCGTTGTTGATCTGTACGAATAGATCGTGTAACTCGTGCTTTTTATGATTACCACTTTTAATTAGTGGCTGTACTTCAGATTCTGCCGCTTCTTCGGTAGAATCTGAAGTTTCGCCGTTCATATGATCGGTAATCATTTTTTCAAGACTAGACAACTGATCTTTGATGCTTGACGTGAGTGGTGTCACCCTTAAATAATCGGCGCTCGGAATTCGAGCTCGAGGGCCCGTCTGAGATCTCAAAATCGGGGGTGTCTCCCCTGTGAGAATAGCTGTCTCTGTGGCAACACAAGGATGTTCAGTAATATCCGTCACCTCTGCGTCTTCCAAGAGAGAGTTTTCCAGATCGGATAATTTTCGCTTCAACAGTTGTATGGGACGTTTCATAAGCTCGAGCTCCTCTGCAGCGGTCCTCGTAGGATTCAAAATCATGTCTGCGAGAGTGGTTCTGAGTAACTCCTCATTTGCTTCTGCCTGAGCTTCTGTTATGGGACGTGCGAGCATGAGCTGATCAGATATTTTGTAAATTGCTTCCTCAATCTCTTTCACGTCTTCAGGAGGTGAACCTTTATGACGAGGAGACGAGGAAAGTTGGCCGAGTTCTTCGTCCACCTGGCGAGCGATTCGCTCGATTTCCTTCATTTTACTGAGAAACTCAGGATCAAACATGCTTGATTCCAATTTTGCAGCTCCTTCAGAAACTGACTTTCCTGTGTCTCCAAAAAGACGAGGCATCGGTTTGGCTGACTGTGCGCGAGGTCTATCTGGCAATCTCGGCCCTTGAGAGGGCTGTATTTTCAAACTCAAATCCTCATGCTTGGCCTTCGGGCTGAGAGTCATCGACATTTCATGGGAAGAAGTGTTTTGCTCAAATCGATGCCCTGTTACATGATCAAGGTCACCGGTCTGGTCAGGCAAAGCGTTACGGATTTTTCTGATCGATTGCGTGATATCCAGCTCGGTATCGAAGTCAAGCGAGGTCTCCACACAGGTTTTCTTGGAGATTTCTATTTCACCGACTTTATTCAGGATCATTTCCTCTTTTTCTATCTCATTTACTGAAATAGCTATTTCTTGCCCTTTGTACGACATTTTCAGAGGTAAGTCAGGCTCACGAGGTTGTTCTGTTTTTTTGGGATCTTCTTCATACTGCTTTCCTGTCATCTGCTCAACTTCCGTCTTTTCGAGGGGTCCCAAAATATCGGCGTGAGTGATATGAACTGATGGTATAGCAAAAAGATGTGCTGCCGAACTGTATGATGCTGGCTTAGGAATGACGAGGTTCACATGAGCACTTGCAGCTGGTCTGCTTAAAAACGAAGCATAAATTCGTTCACGCTGCTCCCGTTCCATTATTGTAATTCCGACTATGGCAGTATCAAAATATCTGTGAAAAGCGTTGGTCTCCTCCATGTCCTCGTTATAGTTGACAATTCTAGAAAGGTCAAACTCCGAATGGTAAGTAATGGAAGAGCCCTTAAACGAGTCGGTATCGGAAGGAAAGAGCTTGTTGGCCTTGTTCTCCTCCCACTCAAACGAATCGAACGAATCCGCGGCATCATCATCGACTAGCTCGACTACCGATGGAACATGCTGAATAAAGCGTCGCGATGGTTGCGTTGGTGGTTCGTCTTCTGAAAAGGAAACCGGGCAGAGTTTGGCTTTACTCGCTTACAGAAACATGCATATGGGTGGGAGCGTAGCCGCCAGACAACACACATACAAAAGGCACAAAACACAAAACAAAACGTAAGCAGATCTACTTGAATGTGAACTGAAGGTTAGCAATTGGTTGGAAGGCATGAGGGTTATTTCGAGGGACTAAAATGGCAAAAGCCGTATATGTACATGTCTAGCAAAAATCATTATAGCATTGGATGAATATGATAAATGATGAGAAAGGATTATCGACGTTTTATTTTGTGATTTTGGCTCTTGAGATGTCGTTGCTCAACGTCCACTTTGAATTCCCATTCAAAAAAAGGGATTTTACAAAAAAAAAAAAAACTAGAAAACTTACTGAGAACTTTGAGGTAGCACTTTGTAACCGCTTTGCCAGCTGAATTTTTCGCCTCACATGAGTACTCGCCTTCGTCTTCAGCCATTGCCTCGTTAATCCGCAGAATACAGACCCCGTCCTCGTAGACGATTTCGTATTCCCTTAAAAAAATGTTGTCAGCGGCGATTGAAATAGGGGTACGAGACTATGATAAAAAAGACATACCGGCAGGAATGAATGACATCTCCATCGACATACCATGCCACTTCTGGTGGCGGCATTCCGGTGACGATGCACTTGAATTGGGCACTTCTTCCGATCACCGTCTGACAGTCTTGCAACGTTTTGACGAATCTGAGAAGTAATCAGATTTGAGGCATTTAACTCGATCATTTTCTAAAGCTGGGGGCACGGAAACAAAGGACAATCCCGCAAGGTTGGCTATTTATGGACAAAACTTCAGTCTCAGACAGGTCTCGAACCCGTACTTGTCCTATTCGGGGACACTATCATATATATACCACGGTTCTCGGAAAGGATAAGTACGAGTTCGAGCCCCGCCCGAGACGAAGTTTTGTCCATAAATCGCCAACCTTGTGAGACTTTCGGAACACGAACTGCGGCGATATAACAGCAGTTAACAAACATCAAGACAAATCTGGGCCTTGCTCCCTACAGATGGACCTTCCGTATCTCCTAGCTTTTAGAGAAAAAGAATGAGTAATGGCCATGCAAACAAACTACCCGAAAATCAGTTAATAAGCTGTGAAGATGGATAAAATTGTGATGGGAAAATCGTAAATAATCTAGAATGAATCAGATTTAGGGAGATCCCTCAACAACATCTGAAAAACTTTTTGCCAACTTCATTCGTGACCTTTGTTGAGAGAAATCGAGCTTTATTTACGTAGAAAGGAGCTGATCTTACGCCGTTCAGGAAAACAAAATCTTGAACAACTTTTGAATCCGTATCTCAGCCCCGTTTCGGGCCAATCGAACCTCACTCGTGGTCGATATGGATTCGTAGATCGAATTTTGGCGCTCCTCTGAGAGTTTTGTGAATTGGCGATCAATCAGAAGTGAATCGATTGCCCCTCCATTTTCAAAGAGGAATTTTAAAATCTTCGGCAAGTTTCTCTCCAGCGATTGCGAAAATGCATAGCAATGAATTTAGTGGAGCCAGCCGGGGTTGCACCGAATAGAAAGGGTGCTTTCATAGTCCACGATTTGGGCCGCGAGCGAGCGACCGATCGAGCGACTGGGGCGGCGCTTCCCGTGGTATCGACCAAGATTCAATTGTAAACAAGGGCCAAGCGTCGTCCCCGTCGCTCGATCGCTCGCTCGCGGGCCAAATCGTGGACTATGAAAGCAGCCAAATATAACCCTGAATTCGTAAAACTAGCTTCAAAATTGATCTTACTTTGGAATCTGTTGTCCCACTGCGCTCGACGATTCCGTCAGGGACTCAGACACCTCTACCCTTTCTGGAGATGGAGATGATGGAGATCGATCTACTTTGGTCTCTAACGGTGTGCTCACCGACGCCACGATTTCCACACTCTGCAACTTCCTCTTTGAAAATTATAAGTATTTCATGAGCTAAACGCTACTGCTATGCTGTAATACCTGATCAGGACAGTTTGCGTCCACTTCCATGAAAACTGTCGCCACATTCTCGTCTACATCAGAGAATCGTGATCGGCGAGACCACGTCTCTTGTCGCGAGCTCACCTGGAGATCCATGAATGAAGGGAAGAACTGCTTTAGCGTGAAAAAGTTGTACAAACCTCGCGCAGGGGACTCTCATAGAGAAGCTGTGATAGGTTGAAGTTGGCGGCATCTTCAACATGACTCTCATATTCGATGACGAGTTCTTGATGAGCTGCATCGCCTTGTTTTACGAGACTTACGGTGACATTTTCCATCTGTAACTGTTGAATGGGAGCTACTCTCGATGGATCTGATTTACCGATGCTCAAACCTTCAATTTGCTGGCTGCTGCGGCCACTCTTAATAGGTCTGGAATGAGTTTTTCTGCGTTGACGATGGTTAATACCTCCTCGCTCGTTTCATTTGGTTTTATAATTTCGACTTGAACAAATGACGACGGTTCAGCTGACTCAGTTGCAAGTCTTTTGACCTGAAAATAAAATGGATTCATATTGTGGCATGCACTCCAAGGCTTGAAGAAGAACTTATCCCATTGAAGAAATTCTCCTGAATTTTATGAAATTATAAAACCCATTAACTTACCTTCTTCAAACTCAACGTCATGGCGTTGTGGAATTTCTGTGACATTCCTTCGAGAAGCACGATCCGATGCTCAGCATTTGCTGCTCCTCGTTGAGGCGATGAAATCAGTGTGTTGGCTGAAGATGAAGTACCTGGTCGTTGAAGGATCGTCTCTAAGTCGATAAACTTCATCGACGGTACGCTGGGCGATGGAAGCCGTAGGCCGAGTTGAACAACCTAAATGGATGAAATCTCCATGCTCCATGAGCTTGTTCAAGTATTCATAAAAGTTCGATGCTTACCTCCGGTTCGACTACCGTAACCACATGATCGAATTGAATGTCAGGTTTGCGGACGTCAATGGTAGTCATTCCAGCTTGACTAGTTTCCTGAACGTAACAATCTCCCACTTGCAAATCCCATACAATCAATTAATTCCGAGTTCAAGACTTGTAGGAAACGAGAGCGAGATAGCGTCGGTAAGTTCACCCCATGCACTCCCGTCGGCCTGGATCGGCAGCTGCTTAGGCCAAGGCTAGAGCCCGTAATTCATTCTATTTACGATACATGACTTCAAACGTTACTAACGCCACGCTAAGTGAATACGAATGCTTGAACGCATTTCAAAAAGGGGTTCATCATCGCAATGGGAGTTCGTCTTACGACCGACTGTGATTGCAGTCCTACACCTTGGAAAAGGCTGATCGCTTTGAACGCCAAAAAAATGCAACCTTTAAAAAATACAGCTCGAGATGGGTCACGTCTCGATATAGCGATGTTCCCCGAGAAGAATACCTAACCATACTCTAGGCGTAGTATAAAGGCACAGTTCATAATATTAGGTTGAGTCATAAGTCCTTGGACAAAATGATAGCGATGACTTCTAGAGATCATAACTTGGGAAAGAGGAGACGAAAATGGACGCGCGAGGCATTGTTAGATAGAGTTTGAAAAGCTCTTCAAAATGTATGTTGGAGAACACACCTAACTGTTTCCTTTCCTGCAACCATGCCCCATGATTTCAAGCCGTCGCAACTCCACCTCCGCAACACCATCCTATTTCTTTTTTTATCTGGCCAAGAACCGGCGGAGATCGATAGACGTATTAAGGAA